AATTGAATTAAAGAAGTTACACACAAAAAAAAGAATTATTAAATAGTTAATTTAATATTAATATCGATTTTATTTTTTCAATTTTTTTATGTTATTTTCAAATTTATATTTCATTCAAAAATAAAAACATTATCGTTTTTTCAAGACCACATAAAATCGTAGTATATTGATAGAGACAATAATAAAAACTAAACATTAAAATGAAGATTTATCTCGCTGCATTACGCGAGTACTCTTCTAATATATATAATGTCTAAATAGATTACTTTATATTACTTAAGTATACATGACCAAACACTTATATGTTCTATTTAAAGATGTTGTAATAAGTTTATATGACCTTTTTAGCGTCTTAAGAAGTTTTCTAGAACAAATAAAGAAGGCTAGTAGGACACTTTTTCAAAAGTGCTAAAAATCTGTTAAAATATTCAAAAGTGTATCATAAACTTATTACAACATTTTTAGATATGACAGAAAGGTTTAATCATATAAACTTAAGTCCTATAAAATAGTTTATTATGGCATTTAAACACTTTTGCGTCCAATAAACTTTATTTTGTTGTAGTGAGGTGAGTTAGTAAATTTGTATTTGGTTTTTAGGGAAATGTTAGAAGTCAAGAAAATCTAATTATTTAAATCGTGGTTAACTAATTTAGTTGAAAATTTATATTTAACATAAATTATGTAAAATGTAATTATAAATAATGTAAAATTGCAATTTGTTTGAATTTTAATAGCAATTATCCACGGATAAACATTTAACAAAAAAAAACACATATCTATATGTAGGATATTGTCAACATCGAGACTATGGATTTTTTTATATTTGTTGGTCCCAAATGAGATGATGATAAACAGAAAGTAATTGTTGAAGGAGGGTTAAATACAATTACACGGATTTTTTTAATTGTTTAATTCTTATTGATGTATATCAAGAATTAACACACATACATTCAACAATCTAAGGAAATGATAACCTAACCTAAACAATCCTACAAAAAGAAGAACTTACAAGAACAACACAAACAGTACTTATAAGAAAATGAAGAACACAGACACTAAGTTTTTCTTCACATACATGAGAGTAAAGGAGTACAACAGGAAAGCTAATTGCCTTGAGAATGCACTTAGAAATCTTTCAAAGGAGGTTAGTAATTTGCATAGGAGATGCACATTGCCTTTTATACTACCTTCAACATTAAATGCATGAGAACACTTGTCACTTGAGGATAAGAAGACTGGGGTTGACTTGCCCATTGTTGATATCTCATTTTCATCATATACAACATGCATACAACATTGTTCATGCAGAAAGAAACTTTTGTAGAGATATGGTCAGTCTGTAGGAAGATCTTCTTTGGATGGATTAGTAGCTTCAAACAGTTACTCACAAATCTTTGGTGCTTGAAGATTTTTCTTCAAATCTTCGGTCCACGAAGATCTTTCTCACAATCGGTTGGTAGCATCAAAATATTTTTCATCTTCATATCAGCTACTTTTGAGTCTTGGTGTGTAAATTAAACAGTTGATCCACAGTATCGCATCAGTGACCTTTTGTCTTTACATCGGCTAGTATTCGATTTTGATAATGACTTTAAGTATGTATCAAGACACCAATGTATAAAGAACCCAATAACTACTAAGTGTTGATAGGATAGAGGAACATATCAGTAGATGACCTAACAAATATTGTTTGTTGTCTAATGTGGACGTCAGGGACACGTGTCATATGTACTTGTTTGTTGTCTAATTGTAAAAGTTATGAAAACAACTCTCTATTTTTCGTTTGACCAGTCAAAGCCACAAATCTTGACCAATCAAAGCCATAACTTTTAACAAATCTTGACCGTATGAAAGATTATGATCAGTTCTTTACTTTTCAAATACTTACCACTTATCAAATTAACCCATGTTTCTCTCTCTATAATATATATATATATATATATATGTGTGTGTGTGTGTGTGTGTGTGTGTGTGTGTGAATTATTTTGCAACCTTTACATTTATACAAGTAATACAACTCAATCTCAACCATTCATTTAATTTGATAAATATGTGATTTTATAAAAGTTTTGGTTGTTTCTTAATATAAAGTATTGATTATAAATAATAAATCATAGTCATCTTCTATAAATATTCAAATCATAATAAACGAACTCTCTTCATTTCTATAAATATCTCGATTGATTGAATTACATTTGTTGCATAAATATGATATGTGGCATTTAAAACGAGCTCTCTCTATATATATGTATATATATTCTCCAATCCCTTAACCACATGGGGTTATACTTGATCTAACACAGAAAACGAAACAAGATGGAGGGTATACAACACAAGACGGTTGGGGCGAATAGGCTCAGCATCCACATAGCTGAAAAGGGTGAAGGTCCATTAGTCTTGCTCGTCTATGGCTTCCCTGAGCTCTGGTACACATGGCGTCACCAGATTTTATATCTGGCGGATCATGGTTACCGAGCCATGGCACCAGATCTCCGTGGGTACGATGATACAACAGGTGCACCAGTCAACGATCACACCAAGTTCAC